CCCCAAAACCCCAAAACCCCATAATATAGATATATTAAAATTTTGGAGTTTCGTGATATTAAAAATACAATCTTTATAAATGAATTTATTGAACTAAATTTTAAGTAATTGTCAATAATAATCAATTCCAAATTTCTCACATTTTTACCTCTTGGTAGAGCTTATCATTGTTGAATAAAGAATGCCTCTAGTCATTATATTCTTTTTGGTACCCAAATACTCCTACTAGATATTGGTATTTGTAAGTTTAACTATTACTCAATAAAATGTGGTCACCTTCTCCAGCATTTTGGCAGGCAGAATCATATTCTGTGCTTTGATAGCTGAACATTGGCCTTGATTGAGATAAGATTATTGGAGTTCTACAATTGCAAGTGTATGAAGTGGCATTTTGACTATAGCAATTGCAAGTATCAGTTCTTGACGTGGTCAATGTTCTTTCTGCAGTAGTATTCGATTGAGAAATTGAGCAATTGCAAGCAAGATAAGGAGCTCTAGTTGTAGCATTAGTGGCATTAGAACAGGAGCAAACAGTTGCAATTCTTATAAAACTAGTTCTCACGGTTTGATTGCAACTGCAGTTAAGTGATGTAAAAGTATTAGTTGAATTATACTTTGTCTAGCAATTGCACGTTTGATTAGATACTGCTGGTGAACTGCTATTAGTTTTATTAGGTGTAGTGACTACTTGAATAGGCTTTTGAATGCATCTACATTATTGATATGTAGCTTTTGTTGTAGCATTAGTCATTGAAACACATGTTGTGCACTGCTGAGGGAAGAACAATGAATTATAAGTTTTGTTATCCTGTAAACAAGAGCAATTGAATTTGCCTTTGTTCGTAGTGTCATTGACACAGGAACAATTATCAAGATTGGCATTACTAGCACAATTGCAAATAAGCTAAGCTTGTCCTGTTGTTGAATTTAGGGCAAATGCGCATTTACAGTCGTTGCTATTTCTACTTTAATTAAGTGAATAATATTGATCAAGTTGATCCGTGCAGTTACAATTTAGATACCATTATTTAGTGGTAGAATTGGTTACATTTTGACAAGCACAAGTCTCATTTTTAATCAAGCCTGAAGTTCTCAAGGTTGAATTTGAGACAGGATCTAACCCATAAACTGAGGGTAATGAGCAATTACAATCCTAATAAGTCAGCCTTGTAGTTGCATTTGTTGCAGATTTACACACACAATCAGTTGAATTGACGACTCTTTGACTTGTTGAACTATTTCTTACAAAATCTGTGCAGTTACAAACAAAACTCCAAGTTTTTGTAGTTGCATTTGTGACATTCAAACAAGCACATGATTGATTGTAGTAAGATACTAAGCATGTTTGATTAGTCAGATCTCTTTTATTGACAGAGTCTGTAAATCTCCTTGCAGCCGAGCAATTGGATCTTCCATCATAAGGATTAGTAACAAAGAATGCTGAGGTCGTAACATTGTCAGTACAATTACAGTTTGAAATCAAAGTATTGTTGACAGTTGTATTCTAACAGGTACAAGTAATGTTCTAGATTTTAGGACACTTAACAATATTAGCACAGTTGCAAGAAACTTAACTAGAAGATCCACTTGAGCAAGTACAAGCAGTTAAATTCATTACTTTACTCACATAGAATCTCTTAGTCTGGGTCTCTGTACAGTTGCAAGTAAGAGTGGTTAACTTAGTAGTAGGGTTTGTTACATTTAAACAAGAGCAAGTCTCATTGATTGTACATACAGGAATTATTGGTTCAACATAGAGAGTTTGCTATTGTTGGGCAGTAGTAAGGTTGCATCCACATTAAGACATTAACAGCCTTGTTGTTGAGTTGATATAGGTAAAGCACTCACTGCATTACGAATTATTTACTGAAACATTTCTGTATTATTACAATGTAGAGTTATTTGTGCAGTTGCAACCGTAGTACCATGCCTTAGTAGTGGCATTAGTTAGATTTTAACATTAGCAAGAATGAGTTGTTCTGTATGTAATTGGAGGAGGACTAAACAGGAAATCGGGTAAGCTGCAATTGCACCAATTTTGCCTGAGCTTTGTTGTTGGGTTTGTCAGAGTTACACAGCTCCTGCAGGCAGAATTATCAACAGTAGCATTATATAATTCCCAGAATGGATACCTATCTGTACAATTACAGAGAGTTACGAATGCCTTAGTTGCAGCATTAGTAGTAACATTTGCGCAGCTACAGTTATAACTTCTTATGACTTAAAGTTACCTACATTCACAGTCTTAGTAAGTTTATTTAGTTGCACTATTGACCTTAGTGACACAATTGCAATTGTTGTTTTTTGTTTAAACTTTCTGTAAGGTTACATTTCCAGTTTCTAAATTTGTACAATTGTCGCAGTTAAGATTCTATTAACCAAGAGCATCAGTAAAAGATTAGCAGCCACGACATGTTTCATTTAACCACTGAGTTCTAACTAGGTTACTTGGATCAACAATACAAAATGGAACAGAACAGGTGCAACTCTCGTAAGATGTTGTACCATTTTTTACCGTCTTGCAAGAGCAATATGTGGTATTCTATGTTTTGTTAAGAGTTGTTACGTTAGTATTAATATCCTTGCAAGATGAACATTGAAGTTAGTTGATTCTCAATGTTGAATTGTAGAATGTTGTGCAATTGCAAGTTTGGTTAGAAAGTCCTTATCTTAGAAAAGGGATCTAGCATCTACACCTTTAGTTTGCAGTATTAGTAATAGGATCATACACATCAGTACAATTACAAAGTGATCTATTAGTAATAGTAAGACTAAATCTATCTCTGCAATCACACTGTAATTAATCAGCTCTCGAAGTATTTTGACAGGTGCAATTAGCTGTAAGATTTGATGTTAAGTAGCATTAAGAAGGCAAAAGACTAGGATTGATCTTGTAATTTGATGATGGAGGACACTAGCAAAGAGTTTGATTGACATTTGTAGTTGCGTTATAGAAAGTTGTGCAGTTGCATCTAGCAGGTATTGATGCTCTGGCTGCTGTGACGTTGGTAAAGTTGACACACTTGCAGTCTAGTCCAAATCTGTATGAAGTAAAATTTACTACCTGCTAGCATTGGCAAACTCTTTAAGTGGTCACATTCCCTGCACCTCTAAAATCTAAGTCATCTATTGTCGACAGAGGCTAATCATAAAAGTCAATATCCTCATCTCTTAGCCTTGGATGAGTTAGATTAAGTTTTTCATAAGCTACTATCTTGCTACTGTTCATTGCAAGCTCCTCAATCAGACCTTCTGAATTAGTGTTAATTTTATATACACAAGAACTATGGAGTGGCTTTTCTAACTCTAAGATATTAACGAGATCTTCAACTTTGTCAACATAAATATTTTTTTAGGGACCACAAGATGAGAGAATCTATGGACATTGCTGAAGGTTCTAGAGTAGAGATAGGTCTTTATGGGTGCATTTCCAAGAAGAAGTCTGTTAAAGTTTTTGGATCACATTCATGCATATGTCATCTGATTAACAGCAGAATGACCTCAATTCTTTTCCTGCCTAAAGATTTGGCATCTCTTCATAACAGTAAGTATGACCGTGCAGGGTGCATTATGTACATTCTATATTTCCCTCTTCGATACTTAGAAGTTGCATTTATTTGCTCGGAGTGTAAGCTTAAATATTGGCAAGACCTAGTAAAAACAAGGTCAGTGATATTGATACTCTTATCATATTTGAAATTTATATTCTATTGAACAATCTATAATTTTTATACTGATGTTCCACTATTAATTTACCTAAACCTTAACGTAATGATGATCTACGGGGTTTTGGGGTTTTGGGGTTTTGGGGTTTTGGGGTTTTGGGG